GTCTGTGTCCAGATACCATTGACAGTGTCAGCAGGAAATGGGCAAAGTGCTGGGAACAGTGGGTGGGTTAGCTAATTGCTGTGGGAGTGCAGATGGGAGTCAATTACTATTTTTAATCTGGACAATATTTCCCTCCAGATTTAAACAGTTTAGATATGGATTCTCTCTGGGTTCCAAATAAACAGTGATCAGAAGTTTTAAAATTAATCTTTGTTTGCTTTGCTTTTTCAAATGCTTCCTTGGTTCTGTGCCATAATGTAAGTACTTAGTCTGCCCACCAGTATGAGATGCAAATTCTGATCTCAGTAACATCAGTGCACATCCAGAGTAACTACATCATCATTACTGAAGTTACTCCTGATTTATGTCATATAGCAGAGACCAGCCTTTCTTTAGTAACCCATTTCAAAATTTCAAAAGGACTTACGTGACTTAGGCACCTCAGTTCTATTCTAAAAGTGGCTTAGGCATTAATATGCCTAAATGCCCTTGACTTTCCATGAGATTCAGGCTGATAAACATATGTATCACTTTCACAAATGGAATAGAGGTGCTAGAACACTTCTAGGGGGGGATTGGGGGGCATTTCTTAATGATAACTATGTATTGTCTTTTTGAAGTCTTTGATCTTGGCTTTCTTGATACCAGTAGTTGAAAGGTATGAGGAGAATACAGAGAAACATATTCCAGTTTCAGTGATAGCAGACTGATACAAGGATCTTTGTCCAAAACTTGTCATTTTCTGCAATGAATTTCTAGTACTTCTAAAAGTACACTGAGGTCATCTAAGCACAAATTATGGCCAAATGTTTTTTTTTGTTTACATGGATTGGTTTGGACAACGTTGTCTCCTGTGCTTAATGTAGTTAAGTCTCAGCACTTTCCATTCAACACTCCTCACTTAGGCAGGGTGCATGCTCTTGAGAAATCAACTGGTACTCCACTGTGCAAAGAAAAATTACAGGTGACTTCAGCATGGTAGAAAAGATTTGCTTATCATGATCAGGCAACGGAAGGAGATTTTAGGTATTTCCTAGGTTGCCATGTTGTGGAATATACTTGGCTAAATAACTTTAATAAAATGTAATCTAAATATAAATTATTGTATTGTAATATTGAAATCTAGTTCTTTCTTGGTGAGGATTGTGGAATTCAGACTCTTGCCCACGGGACTATAGAAAACTGTGTGAAAAGATTTTATTTGGTACACTGTTTTCTACTGAGCCGTGTGAATATTTGTGAAATATTATGTATGCTTGTGTTCATTCAGTTTCCACAGAGTCTTCCAGCTAGTGACTTGCCCACAAAATAGCTCAGGCACAAACATGCTAAAAAAAATGTTCTTTAGTAACTTGCAAGGAAGAACACTTAGGAAAAATAGCTGCAAAAATCATTGACACATAGTTGGAAAAGGGTAGCAAAAGTTATTCTATTCTAAGGCTTCCACTGAGTCTCCTTGGTATTTTTTTCCTTTTGCCGATAGTAAAAACAATTCCTTTTCGGCTGTTTTCAGCCGAATAGAGTCTTCTGGTGAACTTGAAAAAGTTTTCACTCAAATATGGTATAATTCTTTCAATTCCACAAAAACATCTATAGCAGCTACATTTCCCAACTGTAATAAATACTTAGGTTGAATGCGTCTGCAGTGCCATGCAATTTTTGCAGCATAAACAGTGGGGGCATGTGGCTATAAAATGAGGTTTAGAATCATCTTGTATTTGTAGAGAAGGCATAAACTTTGGGTAGAGACCTTCTGTACTTACTTATCAATAAAGAATCTAGTGCGCTGTACATATTCATATAAATCATGATTACTGTGTGTCGGTTGAGGGGAACTCTCCTGTTCTTTCAGGAGCTGCTAAGCCGAACGTCACTAGAGACTCAGAAACTAGATCTAATGGGAGAAGTTTCGGACCTGAAGATAAAGCTGGCTGGTATGGAGAAGGAACAGAGTGAATATGAAGAGAAGCAGAATAAAGCTGAGGTGAGTCTCCTTGCTGACTTTTTGATGCTTAGTCACTTGTGTACATTCAGCTTCCGCAGGCTTACTATCATTTGGAGAAATATCAGGGCTGAACTGAGTGTGCCACAGTAGCTTTCCAGTTAAGGTACTTTTTGTGTATCTTTGGTACTGCAAATCACTAGCAAATATGAATGCATCTTTTTCAGTCTCTTGTTTTTCTTTTTCTATGTACAAACTTCCAAAGTTACAGGGCAGCTTTAGTCAAATACAGAGAATCTTTTCTGGAAGGATGTAGTAAAACAGCAAATAACTGAGCCTTTCCCTTTCCACAGGAGTTGGGGAATGAGAAAAGCAAGCAGTGATATTCAGCTGATTGGGGCTACCAGCCTCTCAGGTGCATCAGAGCCCTTGACTTCAAAGCACTCCTGAGACTGGGGGCACTGATCAGCTGACTGGATTGCTAATTGGTCGTGCAGCAGGCTCCACGCTGGCAATAGGGCACAATTGGGATCTGATTGCCAGTCTCACTATTGCACCATGTGTAGCATGGCAGAAAGAAAGCATGATCATTGGGATCATGGATCCCATTGCACTTTTAACTGAAATCTGTTAGGGGCCTTTATACTTTAAGGTAGAATCATAGAAGAATAGGACTGGAAAGGACTTTAGGAGATGATCTAGTCCCATCCCACACCCTCTTCCCCCATCCCTGACCCTGCTCAAGACAAAATCATCTTTATAAACTATCCTAAACAAGTGTTTGTCTTACCTATTCTTAAAACTTCATGTATTCTTAAAATCACATAAACAACCCCCTCATAACTACCAGGCACAAATCCTTAAAATGCCAAAGTAGCATTAGAGTGATGTTATAGCCATGATGGTCCAGGAATTATGTGAGAGGCAGGGTTTTCTTACAGCGATATATTTTACTGCACCAATTACATGGTTGGGAAAGAGCTAGACAAGCTTTCAAATGCAAGACATTCTTCGTGTATGAAGAGTAAAAGCCAACACAGCATAGTGGAAGCCAGCACAGCACAGCACAGTATCATTGGAAGATAAAGGAGAAAAATTCCTAGGGGTAGCAAATAAACAATTAGCAAATTAAATGAAGTTTGATTATTAGAAAATCAAATCCTGTCAAATGGGTGCTAGGAACACCTTTACTTGCCACAGATAAGTCAGGGTATTATGAAAGCATTTTTGTTCCTAGATGACTAGGACTTGTTCCTAGATGACTTGATAAATATGAAATCCAGGTCGTGCTGGGAAGATATCTTCTCACCATAATATAATGTTTGCAACAAGTTCTCAGTTACATGAGTGTACAAATGTATGTTTACCCGGGCATATCTGTAACATACTGTCTTACTGTTCACTTTTCTGTTGTCCCCCTTTCTCCCCCCTTCTTCCCCTGCTTCCTCTGCACATGCTTTGCATCACTCTGCCCAAAGGTTTCTGGCAGGGGTTGAAAGCCAGGAAGATAACAGCATCCCTTCTAACATCTGTGGCCTCCCAGGCTCTTTTGCTCATAAAAATCAGTCTCTTAATTGTAGAAGGCCTAAGCAATCTCCTTCAAGCCTAAGGTCTGAAGAGGCCTGTGCAATCTACTTCACAAGGAACTGTCCAAATCTCTTGCTAAGGCGTATGTGCTCCCAAACATCCAAATCTCCCATTATCCTCTACCAACATTAAAATATCCTAGTATAATAATTTTTGGGGATTAACGCTATTTTGCTCCCTAAAACGTCTGTAATTAAAAAAAGAAAAAAAAAACCTCCCCTTTTCAGCAAAAACTATTCTGAAGAGAAAAAAATGCCCGTCTCAAACTATTCCTTGTACCCATGTTTGTAGAGGCACGCTTACAGTCCACTTAAGTGCTTCAGGGAGCCACAACTGACAAACTGAGAAAAATCTCCATAACGCAACTAAGGCATGTCAATAACGACATGTATCAAATGAAATTGAAGCTGCAATACACATTTGGAACAGACTCGCTGTATGGTAGGATGGAAGGGGTGAAGCTGCAGAGGACAGGATAGAAAAAAGTTACCTCCACCAGCTGCTGCTTTGTCTGGGCTGCCCCTTCCCATCAATGAATTGCTCTGCTTAGAACAGAGTTCATGATTGACAACAGCGAGTATGATGCCAATGGGATTTTAAGGGTGCAGACAGAAGTGCAGCTCCCCACTGCAACTCAGAACGCTTTGCAGGAAGCGCTCCCCCAGACCAAACAGAAGTTTTGAAACAACTACATTCGAACCTTCATGCAATGAGGGTTCAGATTTTTGCCTGATCACCAGCCATTTTTTAAGCTGTCTGCAGCTGTGCGGTTTTGTTTGGTCACAGCTGTAGACCGTTTTCTGTGACAAGATTGGGAAAAAATTATCACTTACATCTGCACCCTGGGTTACCACTACCAAGAGTGTTGAGTTTCCTACCCAAGAACAAATGCTGACTCGCCCAGAAGCCATACACTAGCTAACCCATGTTAAGTTGCATGCTAATTATATTGCACACCCAGACTTGTTTAATGCTATTGTAAGGAATAGATTTAAAACAAAAACACATTCAAAAACAATGTATGAAAATTCAACTAAATATGCTTGCAATATATTCTGATTCTTGACTGACTTATTTCAGAACAATATTATCTAGTTGACCTCATAGAATTTAACATTAGTTTTCTGGTGTTGGGGCAATATCTGGCAAATTAAGATAGCCTTCCAGAAGTGAATGAGTTTTACCTGTCAAATCCATTTCAGTTTATCATGTGCAATTTGCAGCTGTGGTTTGGGTTTGGTTTTAGTTAGTAACAAAGAGGCCGCTGGGTATATCTAAGCTTCTTTTCAAGATATTAATTTCATACCAAATGCCACTTGTCACTGGCTCTCCAAAAGCACGTGCTAAATTGAAAGTGCTATTTTTATCCCTCTAACAGAAGGGCCAAGATAATTGATATTTGTATGCAGACAGACTTTTCTCTGAGTTTTGCAATTTTACTGTTCTTTTCATAGAATGACTTCTCTTACAGCAGTGTGATAATCTGAATGTTTCTGAGGCCATCTCTAAAATCTTATCTGAAAAGGTCTTAGTTT